CCACAATAGCCTCACATAGTTTGACTGCTATTTAAAGGATTGAATGGTATATCAGTTCTGGAACTGATGTAAAGTCTCGATATAAAATTTTTGGAAGGGCTTCACTCAGGTGATAGCCCTAGATGATATTTATTATATAAAACAAGCAAATAATGTACACACTGTGTTCTATTATTATTTATTGTTGTTATATTATTATTAAATTATTATTATTATTGTTAGTCCAACTGGTGCTGATACTGGTATTGTCAATGTTAACATTCCAACTAACGGAGCAGAAATAGGCGGAGCATTTGGTGGAGAGAAAGCAACGGGAGGAGGACGTGAGTCTGGGAGTGACGCCTGGAAACAATATATGAGACGATCTACTTGGTAAGCCACACCCACCAATGATATTAACCACGCCCACTAATAACCACACCCCTTTTCTAGTACCATCAATTACAGTAAAGAACTTCCACTAGCACAAGGCATCAAGTTTGAATAAACTGTTACTAAAAATAACTTGTAACTATAAATAACTTATCATTTGTTCTGCTAGTTATTAATAAAGGTTATTAAGTAGTTATTAAATTTAGTTATTAATCGCTTCATTTTGATCCAACTCTTGTTCTTTTGTCCCATGAAAAATTATCTCCGTAAGATTTTCGTCTCGTTATCGGAAGCTGTTCTTTCGTCACCTGATACTTGAAACCTGTGGTGGGCGGGGTCAGGGGTTACCATGACAACACATTGCTTACCGCTCTGAACGGCGAATGCAATAGCTTGCTCTTTGGAATCAAAATTAAGTATCACATTAGAATTAGGATCACCACTAAATGAATAACGAATAAATAAATAGAATGTACTGTAGGGAGCCTTTTTTCTAAGGCTGTAAATTTACAATTTTTTGAAGATTCACAAAAATTACTTTTGCATAAATCAAGCAAGATGGCAGATGGCATAAATTCACGAAAATTAAATCCACAAAATGAAATTTTTTAGCCAATTTGCGAAATTTACAGCCCTTGAAAAAGGTACCCAAAAGTATTACGTACGTTGAAGTCCATCCCATGAGTGGGTTCTCCCATCTCTCCTGGTTGTCAAACTCCATCGTCCATTGGTGAGTGTTGTTGGTCCCAGACTGCATGGCATTCTTTGATCGTCGGTATATCCTAACCAACCGACCGACTTCATCATCAGGCAGACCAGACACTGACTGGAGGGTGGGCTGAGGAAAGACAGTATTAGTAATAATTCACTTAACAAGGTGTGTGTCATTATAAAAACATTATTTTTATTACTATTTTATCCGCGGGCATTCTTTCTATATCCTCTCTCTCCTTCTTCACAAGGCTAGTCGCTGGTTTAGGATCAGTTGAGACATAGGCTACTCTTAGTCCTGTCAACCTGGAGCCATTGACAGACCATAAACTCAACAACCTCCTGACCGCCATATTTGTTTATGGGCGTGTCTGAAAATGACCACGCCCTTTAATAGCTAAATAGGCGTGACTACCCTTTCTGAGGGTGTTATTGTGATAATTTGGAGGGAGAGACAGAGAGAGAATGATGGCTCTTCCCGCTGATCCAGACCCCATTACTGCTAGCGAGGACTATGCTCAATTCAGGAGCACCATACCTCAGAGAAAAGTAAACAAAAAGCAACAACAAAAAAACAAACAAATTAATTAATTAATAAAATGTTCTCATTATTAATTAATGATTATTAATAGGTGGTGGTCGATAGATCCAGTATGACCTGGGTATTATATGATGCTGGTCCACGACACATTAAGAGTCCATTGGTTTGTCTACCTCCGGTCTGTGGGTCGGCCGACGTCTTCTTTAAACAACTCATGCACCTTTCGGCAAAAGGATACCGTGTAATATCAGTGAGTTAATTAATAATAATAAATTAATAATAATTGTTATTTTAAGAGCTTATGAATTTTCATTATGTTTGAATGACAATTAATTATTATTATTATTGTTGATAGGTTGAGTATCCAGTCTACTGGAGTGTCGATGAGTTCTGTGAGGGTTTTTTAAAACTAATAGATCACCTTGAGCTAACTAAAGTACCTCATATAAACTCGTACGGTAATATTGAACATCCCTTTAATTAGATACACATTCTGGGTGCTTCTTTGGGAGCTTTTGTTGCTCAGAAGATGGCAGAGAAGACAGAGAAGAGTCCCAGGGTAGCGTCCATATTTATATGTAACGGGTTCATTGATACCACGGCCTTTAAACAAACTGGGAGTGCGAAAGCGTAAGAAATAGAGGCAGGGAGAGAGAGAGAGAGTGACAGTTCACAGGTCTGATAGTATTAAATGTGTTATCTATTTCTTTATCAAAGCTTACAAATTGTTAGTTGACATGTGACCAATTCTTAACAAGTATATTAATAATAATAATCGAGAGTAACAACAATAATAATAGTAATAATAATAATAATGCAAGTACTTACCGTTTATGCTAAAATTTATTTGTTAGTTTTTGGTTGATGCCAGCCTTTATGCTAAAGAGACAGATACTGGTCAACCTACCGAGTGAGAAATTAGAAATGGACGTGGCCAATTCAATAGACTTTATGGTTGAAAGAGTAAGTAGATTAACCATGAAGAGTAATAGCAATAATGATGATATTAATAATGATAACAATAACAATTCTTCCCTCCAATAATAATAATAATAATAATAATAATAATAATAACAATTAAATAATAATAATAATAAATGTGTTTTTGTTTTTCCTAGTTGGATATTCTTTCAAAGGATCAACTAGCCTCAAGACTAACGATGAATTGTGCTGCTAATTACGTGGAGCCTCAGAGACTAAAAGACGTCTACATCACAATAATGGATGTAAGATCATGACTCCACCTAACACAGGGATGGAGAAATATATAATAATAATAATAATGTGTTAATAATTGGGAACTTGTTTTTTGTTAGGTTTTTGATGAGTCAGCATTATCGACGAGATGTAAAGAAGAGATGTACAAGTGTTACCCTGACGCTAAAAGAGCTCATCTTAAAACTGGAGGGAATTTCCCTTATCTGTCAAGAAGTGATGAAGTCAATACTCATTTAGAAGTAAGACCACACCCACCACCACACCTTATACACACTACCTCGTGAAGTTAAATTCAATCAATGTTCAGATTAATTTGATCTGCCATTTTTATGAATATTTTTTGTCAGACATGTCTCAAATTACTTTTATTAGTAAATATCATTTTTTGAATTGTGTTGTTCAGACAAAATGGCAGAGCAACACAGAATATGCCTGGACAATATCTGCAATGTCTAGCTGTTATTTTATTTAAAATTATAATTATTAATTATTTCTGGGTCAGCTAAGTACATCCTTTCTTTATGTGTTAACTGTAGATTCATCTACTGCCATTCCAAGGCACCAGGTATTGTGTGAAAGATCCTGAACTAGTTGATCCTGAAGAGATTAAAGCAGCTCGAGGAGAAATAGAGTTACCCACCACCTGATAGAGAAAGACTAGTTTAGTCTTAGGAGAATGTTTTCATTGTTTGTATTACGCTGTTGAGACTGAGTTATTCTTTTATAATTCAAAATAATATTTTAATTTCAAAACTGAAGCAGCTAGTTTGATTATACTATTAATAATAAATGGTCATTTAAATTTCAAAATAAAGGGATGCACACACATATACTATCAGTGAGTATCATTCAAATTTAATTCCTTGAGCTAAAGGTAGTTCATCACTGTAATTGATGGTGCTTAATAAATAAATAAAATAAATAGTTAATTTTGTTGCAATTGGCCTCACCAGGTGGAGCGTCTCATGTACTTCTTCCAAGCGTCACTGCCAGCCTGTCTGCCTCCACCCGTCTCCTTCTCACCTCCTAAAAATAATTATTATTATTTAATAATAATAATAATTGATATTAATAATGACTCTCTCTTACCAAAAGCTGCTCCAATTTCAAGAGCGTTAGTATCAACATTGACATAAGCCAGACCACAGTCAGATCCACCTGGACTAAAAATAATAAAAATAATAAAAATAATAATAGAACAGTATCTATTTGTTGATGTTTAAATGCAGGGCTGTCACCTGAGTGAAGCCCTTTCAAAAATTAGTAAAAAAGTAAAAGAAAATGTGGAAGTGATTAACCTATCCTGTATTCAGTCCTTTAAATAGCAGTTAAACTATGTGAGGCTATTG